GACAAAGATACTACAAAAAAAAGAAAATTACAGACCAATATCACTGATGAATATAGATGCAAAAATCCTCAACAAAATACTAGCAAACAGAATGTAACAACACATTTAAAAGATCATACACCATGATCAAGTAGGATTTATTCCAGGGATGCAAGGATTCTTCAATATATGCAAATCAATCAATGTGATACACCATATTAACAAACTGAAGAATAAAAACCATATGATCACCTCAATAGATGCAGAAAAAGCTTTTGACAAAATTCAACACCCATTTATGATAAAAACTCTCCAGAAAGTGGGCATAGAGGGAACCTACCTCAACATAATAAAGGCCATATATGACAAACCCACAGCAAATATCATTCTCAATGGTGAAAAACTGAAAGCATTTCCTCTAAGATCAGGAACAAGACAAGGATGTCCACTCTCACCACTATTATTCAACATAGTTTTGGAAGTCCTAGCCACGGCAATCAGAGAAGAAAAAGAAATAAAAGGAATACAAATTTTTTTTTTTTTTTTTTTGCGGTATGTGAGCCTCTCACTGTTGTGGCCTCTCTCGTTGCAGAGCACAGGCTCTGGACGTGCAGGCTCAGCAGCCATGGCTCACGGGCCCAGCCGCTCTGCGGCATGTGGGATCTTCCCGGACCGGGGCATGAACCCTTGTCCCCTGCATCGGCAGGCGGACTCCCACCCACTGCGCCACCAGGGAAGCCCAGGAATACAAATTGGAAAAGAAGAAGTAAAACTGTCACTGTTTCCAGATGACATGATACTATACATAGAGAATCCTAAATATGCCACCAGAAAACTAGTAGAGCTAATCAATGAATTTGGTAAAGTTGCAGGATACAAAATTAATGCACAGAAATCTCTTGCATTCCTATACACAAATGATGAAAAATCTGAAAGAGAAATTAAGGAAACACTGCCATTTACCACTGCAACAAAAAGAATAAAATGCCTAGGAAAAAACCCACCTAGGGAGACAACAGTCCTGTATGCAGAAAACTATAAGACACTGATGAAAGAAATTAAAGATGATACCAAGAGATGGAGAGATATACCATGTTCTTGGATTGGAAGAATCAAAAAAAAAAATTGCGTACCTTACTTTAAAAATACATTTTTGCTAATAACTGCTAACCTTATCTGAGCCTTCAGAGAGTCATAATATTTTTGCAATAGTAACATTAAAGATTACTGATCACAGGTCACTTTAAAAATATAATAATAATGAAAAAGTTTGAAATATTGCAAGAATTACCAAAACAAGACACAAAGTGAGCAAATGCTGTTGGGAAGATGGCACCAAGGGATTTGTTTGACACAGGGTTGCCACTAACTTTCAATCTGTAAAAACGTGTAATAACTGTGAAGCACAATAAAATAGGGTATGCTTGTATTACTCACAGCAGTAGCAGGAGCCAGAGTACCAGCATTTACAACAGTTCCCTAAGCCCTGATTCTCACAGGATGATGTGAATAAGGCCAAGCATCACCTGCATACACAAGGGATGTGTTACAGGAGCCTAAGCTTAGGAAATCAAATCTTTTATCATTGAGAATAAGCCTGCCTGAACTTTGCCCCAGAAGGATACATTATATTTATTATACCGGACAGTGAAAAATCTTCCCTTTGCTCTGGAAAGACACACCATTCTATCTTCCAATGCTGTTCATTATATAGACATCCTTGGAAAAGTGGTCTAGAACAAAAAAGTGAATGTCTATGCTCATAGGATATGCAGAAAAGCAAGAGACACATGGAGAACTGTGTCTTACAAAGCATGTATTAATTCTCTACTCATAAAGTTTCATTTGTTTTTAACAGTGTATGGGAGATGGAGGCATTCATTGTTGACTATTCTTTCTAGGTACAGAATTATACTCTCTTTTTATCTCATGTATTGGCAGCTTTAAAAAAAAGATACTGACAGTAGGAAAAGAACCCTTCATCAAGTCAACTATTTTATTTATTTTTAAATTTTATTTATTTTTGGCTGCATTGGGTCTTCGTTGCTGTGCGCAGGCTTTCTCTACTTGTGGCAAGCGGGGGCTACTCTTCTTTGGGGTGCTCGGGCTTCTCACTGTGGTGGCTTTTCTTGTTGTGGAGCACGGGCTCTAGGTGCACAGGCTTCAGTAGTTGTGGCTTGTGGGCTCAGTAGTTGTGGCACATGAGCTTAGTTGTTCTCTGGCAAGTGGGATCTTCCCGGACCAGGTCTCGCACCCATGTCCCCTGAATTAGCAGGTAGATTCTTAACCACTGCACCACCAAGGAAGTCCCAAGTCAACTATTTTAGAGAGTCTGAGAGAATCAGTCAACACAAGCTGAAAGGAAGTAGAGATGTGATATTAATATTAACTAAAGTATGCTTTAAGATGAAGAAAGGATTAAAGAGGATGAAGATCTTTCAGTTACTAAAAGATACAATCCATAATGAACGTGTAGCATTCATGAACCTCTATTCCCTCCATAACCCAAAATCAAATCGAAAGGTAAAACTAGGCTTCTCTGGTGGCTCAATGGTTAAGAATCCACCTGCCAATGCAGGGAACCGGGTTCAGGAAGATCCTACATGCCGCGGAGCAACTAAGCCCGTTTGCCACAACTACTGAGCCTATGCTCTAGAGCCCACGTGCCACAACTACTGAAGCCCACGCGCCTAGAGCCGGTGCTCCACAACAAAAGAAGCCACCGCAATGAGAAGCCCACGCACCGCAGCGAAGAGTAGCCCCTGCTCGCCGCAACTAGAGAAAGCCTGCACACAGCAACAAAGGCCCAACACGGCCAAAAATAAATAAATAAAATAAATAAATTTTTTAAAGTAAAAGCTATTAATATACAGAAAGAACATAGTTGAAATGTTCATTACCTTACAGATCAATCAAAGAAACATTAAGTATCCAAATATTATAATCTTCATATATACTTATTTCAGTTCTATTTCACAGATATAGCTATGATATAGAAGAAACCTGAAGTCCACTCCATATAAAAAATATCTCAAGGATGCAGCAGGAATCTCAAAGGTAGGAGGGTAAATCTGAGCTGAGTGTTCATGGGCAGAGCTGGTTTGACACAGTGGAGCTACAAGTCCTGGTGCGTGTAGCCACCATGGGGCAGAGTCAGAATTTAATGGAGGATAAAGTAAACTTGAGCTCCGATAGCTGCGACCTGAGACCATAGGCAGGTCCGAAAAGGATGTGAGCCACGAGCATCAATTTTGCAGCAAAACAGGCCTCAAGAGATCAAACAAGACCAAGGTTTGGGAGCTACACTGGGTGCTAGCAACTCACACAATCATGCCAGTGGGCGGATCCAACTTCTGGTTCTCTCTCTACACCTGGCAGTGGAAAGCGAGAAGGACTGACTCTTTGAATGAGCTTCTGGGATGCTTTGACACCAAGAGAGTGACACTGGACCCCCCTGCTAGTATTAACAGGTGGGGTGGGACAAAAACAAGGAAGAAATAAAGGAATGATGACCTTAATTTTTACTCCAAGCTGGGGAAATAGGTCATGTAGGCTACCTATGACAGTAAGGAACACAAAGATTTATACACCAGGAAGTGTGCAGCAGCATTATTTATAGTACAGAAACACTTGAAATCGTCCAGAGTCAAGGAATGGGTAAATTATACTGCACCCATGAATGGATAAAATATTATGCAGCCATTAAAATCACATGTCTAAGACCTTTATTGACATGGGAAGAAGGAGGTGGAAAATCGGAACACAAAGTTATTTGGAAAAATTGCAGCCAACCTTTCTAAAACTTGTGTATTACCGTGGTTATCTTGGAGCAGCAAATTTACAGGTTGTTTTAATTTTCTTCTTTACAATTTTTATGTTCCATAATTAGGTATTACCTGTCAAATAACAAAAGTGATTTTTTTTAATGAGAAAGTTTTAAAAACCTCTTCTCAAGCAAGAATGTCCAAATTAGAAGTTAAGGCAATATTCATTCATCCATTTTTTTCTTTCAGCTAGATTTGAGTATTGCCTTTGATCTAAGAGCAGTGCCAGACACTGGGGTACAAGGTGGATAGCATGTGAATTTGGGTATGGAGGATCTCATAATATGTGGAAAACCCTTGTGGAGGGGAAGAATAAACCAAAGAAAAAATAGAGTTTGAGAACCAGAAGAGAGAATCAGGAGGCCTCATGGAGGAGGAGGTGGCACTTGACTTGGCTCTTGAATGTATGGGAAGGGGTTGCTAACCAGAGAAGAAAGCAGGAAGAATTGGTTCCCACAGAAGGAATAGCAAATGTTGATTTGCATTCTTGGTATCAAAACTTGCCCGGCTGACACCGCCCCCTAAGATCGGACAACCGATCAGGATGCTCACAGAGGGTTTCCCCCATTCTGTGCTGCTTCACCTCTGATGCTCTGAGCCACAAGTCCACCTGGGCCTCTGAGTCTCACCTGAAATATCACTATCCACTTTAGTCCTCATATTTTACTTGGTTGTTCTTTTATCTGAGTCTCAAAACTAACCTTGTGAGCGTTTTTGTGACCCAATCTTTATGACTGACCATGACAGAAAACACATAAGATGAAATAGACCAGTGATTCTCCATCCTGACTGCACAGTAGAATCATGAGATTTAAAAAATCTCAGTGTTGGGGCCCCACCTCCAGAGATTCTTATCTATTTGGTCAGGGCTGAGACCTGGACATCAGTGGATCATAGCTTGCAGGTGATTCTAATATTCAAAAATATGTGGAGCATGTATCTTTCTAAACATACCACTTAAAAAGGAAAAACTGGATGTGGGTGTAAAATAATTCAAAAGTTAGTCATTAAAAAGATGTCTCGTTACTTGGTAGATGCAACAAGGTTACAGGTGAATTAGGTCCACAAATAGTGACTGTCTTCTAGCACAATATAGATATGTTTGTTTTCAGACTGTCTTTGACAAAACAGCTCAGCTGATACTCAACTGATAAAAAATAAATTTGCTTTGGATGAGACTCAGTTTTGATTCTCTCCTCAGACAGAAAATGTTTTTCTGCCAACCACTCTTCCAAGAGCCCTTTTCAAGTCCCTGTTCCTCAGGCATAGACGAAAGGGTTCAGCATGGGGGTCACCACCGTGTACATCACAGTAGCTGTGGTGTCCTTCTCAGATGGGTGGGAGGATAAAGGGTTAAAATAAACAGCAATGATGGTGCCATAGAAGAAGGAAACGACAGCCAGGTGGGAGCAACAGGTGGAGAAGGCTTTCCGTCTTCCCTTTGTGGACTGGACTCTCAGGACAGCACAGGTGATATGGATATATGATACCAGGATGCAAACAAATGGGGTGCTCATGATCAGGGCACCCTCAGTCAGAATCATCACCTCATTGAGGTGTGTGTCAGAGCAGGAGAGTTTCAGGAGGGGGGTCACATAACAGAAGAAGGGGGGGATGGCATTGTCCGCGCAGAATGAGAGTTGAGCCATCAGCAGGGTATGCAACAGGACATTCAAGTTGGCAATGACCCATGACCCAGTGACCAGCAGGGCACAGAGTTGGTGGGTCATGTTTGCTGAGTAGTGTAAGGGGTGGCATACAGCAACAAAGCTGTCATAGGCCATCACGGCCAGGAAGAAATTGTTCATGTCCACGAACATGAAAACAAAATACATCTGTGTGAGACACCCAGAGAAGGAGATGGTCTGACTCCTGAGTATGTGGTTGGCCATCATCTTGGGGGACAGAGGTGGAGGAGAAGCAGACATCCACGAAGGACAGGCTGCAGAGGAAGAAGTACATGGGGATGTGCAGGTGGGAATCCAGGCTGATGGCCAGGAGGATGAGCAGGTTTCCCAGGACCGTGGCCAGGTACATGCTCAGCAGGAAGAGGAGCTGCTACTGCTGGAGCTGCCTGGAGAGCCCCAGGAGGAGGAACTCAGAGACACTCGACTGGTTTGTCTCTCTCATGGGGCTGGGAGCCTGGGTCCAGAGGCAGACAAAGCAGGAAAAATTCAAAAGCCTGGAAAATGATGGTCAAGATGGGGCAATTAAGAAGATTGCAAGGAGAAAGGCCATGTGACAGAGGTGAGGCATTAGCACTTTGCTTCCTGTGTGTTTTGTGCCTCCTTTATTAGAAAAATGAGGCCAGTTTCCTTATGCATGTGCAGTACCTCCAGAAGGACACTGAGAGAATGTGACAGTGGTTTTGTCCATAAATCCTTTATATGTCTAAACTTTCTACCATAACCATGTATTTTTTTAAGTAAGTATCAAAAACACTATAAAGGAATATTAATAGAGACTTTAATATTTATGAGTACTGGAGAACACATGTGTAAATGGTTACCATAGAGACTGACGTACTAAGCATATACCCTAATACAGGGTACTGATGCCATTGATATCATCAGTGGTGTTGCCTTTGAGAATATTTTTTATTTCCCTTATCTCTAATCTGTAGCTGTTACACATTCCTAACATGTCTGCTCTGAGGATGATGTCAGTGATCAAACAAAAACTGCTCCCAGGAGCTTCCCTGGTGGCGCAGTGGTTGAGAGTCCGCCTGCCGATGCAGGGAACGCAGGTTCGTGCCTCGGTCTGGGAGGATCCCGTATGCCGCGGAGCGGCTGCGCCCGTGGGCCATGGCTGCTGGGCCTGCGCGTCCGGAGCCTGTTGCTCCACAGCAGGAGAGGCCACAGCGGTGAGAGGCCCACATACTGCAAAAAAAAAAAAAACTGCTCCCAGGTGGGTAATGATAGAATTGCTGCTGCTGATTCCTGCGCTCACATTTTCAGAGCACTTTACAGAGCTCTGAGCCAGCCCTTCTTGGCTATGTCCACTGAGCTCCTTAAGACTAACTTGTAAAATTAAAATGGAAGTGACCCAGAAGTATGGGCAGAAACCTGCCAATTTGTTTTCCCCACACTTCAGGGCCTCATAAACCGATAACACACACTGGTCATGCCTGGGCAATTTCGAGGAACTGCTGATGATCTCAGAACTGTTTCTATAGTGCCACTTAAACGGAAGATGTAGTTGCTTCCATGTCTTGGCTATTGTAAACAGTGCTACAATGAACGCTGGGGTGCATGTATCCTTTCGGACCGTACAATACTCCAATATAAAATTAAAAGTTAAAAAAAAAAAGGAATATGTAGTGGGGAGTGCCCCCTTAAGGATTTACCCCTTAACAAGGGTTTATTGATGAGTCTCACTGATCCGTCTCTTACCCAAGAAGAATGGCAGTCTTTCATGGTCCCCAGAATTCCCAGGTTTGTTTCACTTTTCTAGACCTGGCCAGAGATTATTTGTCTGAGGGAGAGGGACTTGTCTTTGGGTTTTTCAGGCTAAGTCTGCATGAACAAGGGGCTGGGGTGCACAGACTCAGCCCTCGGTGCTGGAAGGATGCTTGGGGTATCGTAGGGCCAGCTCTTTACAGGAGCCTCAATGGGCACTAAGGCTATATTCCCTGAGAGCCTCATTAGAGAAAGCAGAGAGTAATTGTCCCTTCTCCTCTGTGGGCTTTTTTTGGATCCAGTATTGATAATAAAGATCTGTCTTCAGAGTTACATAATTGCTGCTTCAGGACTTGGCAACATTGGAAATGATGCAATCTTGGGGGTAATCATTAGCCACAACCCTTCTGCTAGAGAGGACTCACAATTCTATATTTTATCCCCCACCCAATCTTGTTGGGAAATACACATGAAGCTGGATAGGGGTTAAATTTTGGATTCACACAGATCTGTGCTGAATTCCAGACCCACATTATCAGTGGTATGACCTTGAGAAAGCTATCAATCTTCACAGAATTACAAAACTTCACCATCTGTAGAGAGGAGAAATAATAATCACCTTGTAGAGTTGTGCAAATTAAATATGTAATTTATGTTAAATACCTCATGACCCCTATCCTCATCAATGCACTGGGCTAGGACCATGTCCACTAGGTGGAGGTTAAAGGTGAGGGACTGTCCTGGTGGTCCAGTGGGTAAGACTCTGCGCTCCCAATGTAGGGGGCCTGGGTTCCATCCCTGGTTGGGGAACTAGATCCTGCATGCATGCCACAACTAAAAGTTCATATGCCATAACTAAAACATCCCGCATGCTGCAAGGAAGATCCCATGTGCTGCAACTAAGACCCGACACAGCCTAAATGAATAAATATTTTCTTTAAAAAGGTATTAAGTGATATTTATATCCTTTGCTCTCTGCTCAATCATCTGTATTCTGCATAAATATAATTTGGAAATAGTGTCACATGTTTATCTTCATATGTCAATAGTCTTTTTTTTTTTTGCGGTACGTGGGCCTCTCACTGTTGTGGCCTCTCCTGTTGCGGAACACAGACTCTGGATGCGCAGGCTCAGCGGCCACGGCTAACGGGCCCAGCCGCTCCGCGGCACGTGGGATTCTCTCGCACCAGGGCACGAACCCGTGTCCCCTGCATCGGCAGGCGGACTCTCAACCACTGCGCCACCAGGGAAGCCCTCAATAGTCATTTTTATAAAGGACCAGTTGACAAGTCTTTTATACTATATTTTAATTTGGGGGTAAATGAGGTAGAAATAGGAACCATTGCTGAGTTCAGTTATAAGCTGGTAGAACATGGGTGCCAATGAGGAACCGAGAATTCCTGAGTCCATTATGTATCACTCTAGTTGTTCTGAAGGCAAGATCTGGCTTTAAGGTGCCCATAAAGGTCTTGATCTTATGCGTTGCAAAGTTTACTTTCCTGAGTTGATAATATTAAAGAGTTACTCATAAAAACCATACACCTGGGTCAGAAGTGGCAATTGAATTCCTAAAAAATATCTCCTCTGGAAACCAGAGTGTTCCTCTAGCTAATTCTTCCACTTTGGGTTATTTATAAACAATATATTCCCCATGCTGACTATAGCATCTTAATAAATATCTTTAACCTCCTCCCAGTAACTCAAAATAAGAATCTCAGGGCTGTAATGAGACTTCATGTCTCCATCAGACATGTGCTATGAGATCAAGTTCTCTCCATTCCATCTCCAAAAATAGGCCAACCGCTCCACACACAAAATTATCAAAGATCTGGGGAGGAAGGGGAGAATAGTGACTGGATTAGTAAAGCCATTGTTTGCAAGTGATAGAAAACCAACTCATATCAGCTTAAGGAGAAATAGAATCTAGTGGTTGATGTAATTGCAAAGTCCAAAGTTCTTCATGCAAAGCCTGTGTGTTTCAGGCAGGGCTAGATTCAGGGACCCAAGTAATGACATCCGGACCAGTATTTCTCTATCTCTCTACTCTGTTTGCTTCTGTTCGACTTCATTCTACAGACTGACTCTCCATGTGGCAAGAAGGCAGCCACCAGTATCTCTGAACTCACATCCTCTCAGACTAGCAATCACAGGGCACATAGAACTTCTCTCTACCACTGCTTATTGGCACTGCTGTAAGGCAAGACTGTGATCATCCCTTTTTGGATCATATACCCAAATCGGAACCAACAATCCTGATGGGAAAGTGGGGTATTCTGGTTATCCTGGGTCATAACCCCAGTCCATTCCATGTGGGAATTCAGTGATGGACATTTATCACGAAGACTAAGTGGAGGATGGGAGGAGTTTCCCAAACAGATCCAAAAAAATGGAAATGGGAAGGAATGCCCTGGAACTAAAAAATTCGAGTTATCGGACTTCCCTGGTGGCGCAGTGGTTAAGAATCTGCCTGCCAATGCAGGGGACTTGGGTTCGAGCCCTGGTCCGGGAAAATCCCACATGCGGCGGATCCACTAAGCTCATGCACCACAACTACTGAGCCTGTGCTCTAGAGCCCGCAAACCACAACTACTGAAGCCCGCGAGCCTACAGCCCGTGCTCCGCAACAAGAGAAGCCACCGCAATGAGCAGCCCGCGCACCGCAACGAAGAGTAGCCCCCGCTCACCTCAACTAGAGAAAGCCTGCGCGCAGCAATGAAGACCCGATGCAGCCAAAAATAAATAAATTAATTAATTTTTAAAAAATCGAGTTACCATGATCCACCAGAGTCAATCCATCAACTGACCTGAGTTGAGCAAAGGATTGGAGAAGGAACACTTAAGACACAAGAATAAATTAGTAAGCTATTTTAAAAGTTAATGTGAACTCGTGAGAGGCACGCGTACCGCAAAAAAAAAAAAAGAAAAGTTAATGTGAACTAAACAAAAACAAAAACTGTAATTAATGACAACCCAGTATCATTGAGCACACCTAGCACCCAGATCTTGGTTTCCAAATGCCATTCCCTACTAAAAGGAAATTGGATTCCTTAGAGAAAGGGCTGATTCCAGATCTGGGCAGAAAAATACCAAAGTGAGTCTAGGACATTATGTGTGTGCCAGAAAATAAGGAAATGCTCAAAGTCCAATGTGAACATGCAAATGACTTTCATATGTATCACCATATCCATATACGGTGTTTAAAGTACTATTCTTTCAACTTTTCTTCAGGCTTGAAATTTTTCAAATTAAAGATTTGTGAATAAACAGATTTTTAAAAAGGAACAAAGATGCTAGCTTGAAAGGGCTCTCCCACTGGCTAAATTTGGAATAATGTGAGCATCAAAGAGAATAATAGGGAATTCCCTGGTGGTCCAGTGATTAGGACTCCGTGCTTTCACTGCCAAGGGCGCAGGTTCAATCCCTGGTTGGGGAAATAAGATCCCACAAGCTGCGTGGCATGGCCAAAAACAAAACAAAACAAAACAAAAAAATAATAATTATAATTGTAAGTAATTATAAAATATTAAATATATTACAATCTGTGAGTCAATATTAATACTATCTTTAAAAGAGAGAATTTAAAAGGTAATTTGCCATAACTGAAGGTGAAAAATTAACAATTAAGGGAATGAATTTAGCATTTACTCTGTCTTTTTAAAATGATCTGAAGTTCATCATGTGTTCATGGAGAAAATCTCTTCTTTACAGAATAATGCCAGTTAAGAAATATAG